CACTGATTTCATTTATAATAGAAAGCGCTTTCGAGAAATTTCAATTTTATAATGCGCTTAATAAATTGTTGATAATAATAATACATACATACATACACAAACACATACATACATACACACACATAAATAAATACACACAAACAAACAAACACATACATACATACACTCATATATCTAAACAGTACGTCACAATTAAGAGAGCAATCGGTCGACGAACCTTTAATGTATGGCACGTAAATGTTGAGGTAAAGACATTCCTCATCTTGATCTTCAAGGTAGTCATAATCAGCCGGAGTCGAATGCAAGCCTGGAAAGTATTTGCCTTTGTATTTTATTTTTCGTTTTTTAATGTCTTTTGAGTTATTGTTTCGACCTTTCTTGTTGATGTTAGCGTGTTTGTTTATGTTTTTGTTAATTTTGTTGATGTTTTTGTTGTTGATGTTGATGTTTTTGTTGTTGATGTTGATGTTTTTGTTGTTGTTGTTGTTGATGTTTTTGTTGTTGCTGTCAGCAAAAGAACGCTTATAAAGATGGGCTGGTTCGTTGTTTAAATTGTCTACGTTGTTGTTTTTTATTTCCTTGATTTCTGTGATGCTGTTGATGTTCTTGTTGTCTTTTTCGATAATTTTAAATTTTTCTACAACTCTGGTCTCGACGTATTCAGATATGGATCGATTATTTCTATACAGCTTTTGACCTCGCCCATATTTCATGCTAGCTTTTCTGGCTTCAGTGACATTCAAAATATTTATATAACTGTTTTTGATGTCTATTTTATTGTAAATGTTGAGTTTGTTGTTGTTGTTGCTAATGTTGTTGATGTTGTTGATGTTGTTGTTAATGTTTTTGTTGTTTTTATTTTTTATTTTAGTTTTAACGTCATTTAAAACTTCATTCCTATAAACAGAATCTCTTCGGACCCTAAGGACTCCTGCATTGGTTATTAAATTTTTGTTGACGTTGATGTTGTTGTTGCTGATGTAGTTGTTTGTGACTATGTTGTTGTTGTTGCTTTTGTTGTTGTTGATGATGTTGTTGTTCGTGACTTTGTTGCTGTCGCTATTGCTGTCGATGTTGTTGTCGATGTTGTCGCTGTTATTGTTGATGTTGATGATGTTGTTGTTGTAGATGTTGTTGAAGTTGAGGCTGACGTCATCATTATCGTCATGATTTCTCTCATTTTCATCAGCCGAATGCTCACCCACATTCGGTACAATCGCCTCACTGGATTTAGGACCCCCAAAATCAACTGTGATAGCGTTAACATTACTATTGTTATTGTTACCATTATTGTAACCGCTATTTTTACTGTTGCTATTGTCTTTATAATTGTTGTTATTATTTACATTATTTTTATTATTATTATTATTTTCATTATTATTATTCATATTTTTATAAAGTGTAAGTCGGTCAAGCGTGGCGACGTTATTGGACCCGGAAAAAATTTTTCCTGATAAAGTTTTATTCCATTGATAAGCCTTATTGTGATAATTAAGACGAATGTTTACTGTTCTGCTGCTGTTGTTGTTGTTATTGTTGTTATTATTATTGTTGTTGTTGTTGTTGTTATTATTATTATTATTGTTGTTGTTGTTGTTGTTGGTGGTGGTGGTGTTGTTGTTGTTGCATTTTTTAATTCTCACCAAATTTTCAAAACCGCGATCAAGTTTAACCTTCGAAGTATTGCCATCCCTCCTTATTCTATTACTTTTTTTTGACACGTCGTCGTCGTCATCATTCTCTTTATCATCGTCGTCGTCATCTTTATCAGCTCCATGATCATCATCACCGTTGCTGGCATCATAATTATCATGATCATCCACATCATCACCATCATTATCTTCTTCTTTTTCTCCTCCTTCTACTTCTTCTTCTTCTTCCTCTTCTTTTTCTTCTTCTTCTTCTACTTCTCCTTCTTTTTCTTCTTCTTCTTCTTCATCTTCTTTTTCTTTTTCTTCTTCATCATCATCATCAAATTTGATTTGAGGACAGATAGGTTTGCGCTTGATGGCGAGTTTGACGCCCGGCCATTTTTCTATAAACCCTGATGGGGGCATAAACCTAAGCCTCCCCTTACGTAAGGATGCATATTTTATCCCGTAGTATATTTCAACTTTTAGTTTTGTTGTTGTTGATGTTGCTGTTGATGTTGTTGCAGTTGTGGTTGCAGTTGTTGTTGCAGTTGATGTTTTTGTTGATGTTTTTGTTGATGTTGTTGTTGATGTTGTTGTTGATGTGATTGATGATGACGTTTGTAATATGGGAGAAGGCGTTTTTGATTTTGCGTTAGTTTTGTGTGTTGTCGTTTTGCCTGCTGCAACTGTTGTTCTTG